AATTCTGCTTACTTAAAGACATGCAAAGATTCAGTATTTTTATATTAGGAGAAATAAGATCAGATAACCACTTCTAATAAGACTTTGAGGCACATTTTTGTGTAAAAGTATAAATAAAAAAAGAAAGAAATAAGAAAACCCACAGACAGGTACAGCTACCTCCATAATTCCAGCTTCCATCCGAATCACACTAAACAGGGTCATCTACAGCCAAGCAATCCGATACCACCGCATTTGCTCTGACACTGAGGACAGGGACAAACACCTGAGCACTCTGGCGGATGCATTTCGGCGAAAGGGCTATAGGGAAAAGACTATTTCTAAAAAGATTAAATCTGCCCTAAGAACACCACGGGAAAGACTGCTACAGTACAAGAAGAAAAACCAAACCAGGACCCCTCTTGTGAATATTGCACTATATATATGTGAAAAAATGTGGCTTATTACAGCTGTCAGTTCATGAACTACGCTAATCCTAAAAAGGTCACCATTGTACTGTTCTCAGCTGAATATACTGAATAATACAAAAAAGAAATTGCTATGGTTACCACAACATTTTTATGATCGTGATGCTACTTTTATCCAAGCAATTTTGAGCAGCTAGCAATCAGACCTTTTAAAACAGAAATCAAATAACAGAAATAGGAAAATTGAGGGTACATTTTGGAGGGGCAACCTTTAAACCAGTAATCATGTATAGCCAAATCCTAAATTAAATTCTGAGAATATAGCAATGTACCTTGTGAATAATAAACGTGCGCTATAAGAACCACTTCAGATCATTTTAAGGAGGCATGGGTATTATAAAGTATGCATTGGAAAAATGTACTGTGGATATCTTAAAAAGGCTGTGATTTAAAGGGGCTGGTTAGATGCAAGTACATAAATACAGTGTTACTAACACAAATGGCAATTCTGGAAAAAGATATTGCACTTTCCATTCTTCCTGTAAGGATACAAATAATCCAAGACCTATGCCAACTTAGCAGCAGCTATGAATATTTAAAGGGACAATATTCTCAAAAGTGACATTTCAGTTCTAGATGAAACCAAGTTGGCTAAGTCACCTCCTGGTTTCTTACATGGTCCTGGATTCTCCGATGGCAAAATCTCAGTTTGTATAATGTCTGACTTTGTTCGGTTCACCTGGCAGTTTTGGGTGTTCCAATCTACCTTTGCATGTTCCAGAATATCCAAAATAATCAATAGAAAGAGTAGGGATTCCTCAGCAGAGTGCAGTTCCAGGAACCTTTACACCTTATCTTCTTGTATCTTCTCAAATGCACTACATACACTTTTTAACAAACATGGGATTTTTCAGGTGCTATATCAGTGATGCACCTACACGGTATTTTCTTAATCTCCTCTCCCTATTATTTTATACTGTCATTAAAAACAATTGACAAAAAAAAATTAATATCACATATCTCGACAACCACTACACTGCATTCAAAACGATTTAATTCTGTTGTTACTCCTTCAATAATTCTCCACATCAATAGGCTTCATATTACCACACCAGTCAGCAAAGTCATAAAGTCCACTCTCTCTTGGGAGATGTAGTTCTGGGGACTTGCCTACCTCAATAGGAACTAGGTTCCCAGCACCCTGCCCCTGCAAGAATTTGACAAGCCTAATGTCCCATATATAATATATTGTAAGGTGGTTTAACTCTCCATTATACCTACAGCTAAATAAAATATACCCTTTAAAGAAAACACTGGTGAAGAATCTTCTGCTTCCGCACTCAGAATTCTCAGATTCTCTGTCTCCCCTTGTGCTCTGTGGCTCCTTTCTCTGGCCTCTGCCTCATTGCAAGGCACAGTAATGATGGAGGGGCCACTGGAACTAAACACTGTGTATAGTAGGGGAACAGGCATTGCACACACCTGGAAGTGTGTTGGCAGTGTCGGACCTAATAACCAAAGGGCCCTGGTGCAAGATTTTATCTTGGGCCCCCCTCCCAAGACAGGGGGCGCAGGAGCGGATCACACTGGCCCAAGCCCCCCCAGCGGTCTCTAATGTTGCAGTAGCATGCTGGACTTACCTGAGACCCTGCAGAGCACACCATAGATCCTGCATAGCCCACCTGAGACTCTCTATGGTGGGCTCTGCAGGGTCTCAGGTGGGCTGGGCTGGTCGTCGGGATCCCTTTCCCTGTACCTCCTCCCAACTCTTCTTACCTGCTGCTGCTGGGGCCCAGCCTCCTCCACCCCCTCCCCTGTCACCTCTGCCATGCTGCCCCAGTACAGTTGATACCCATGTAAGAGGCCCCCAAGACCCCTCACATGGGTACCGGCCATACCCTTCTGATGGCGGTGTTCTATCAAAGGTTGTGACTACGTTTGAATGTGTGACCGGTGACATGATCACGCGTTTTAACGTTATCGCGCCCAGTTTTTCGACGGTGGAATGTGTGACCACCAATAGGTGAAGCATTCCAGCGCTTTCCCAGCTGTTCCACGGCAGATTGGCATCGCAAATCGCATGTGCAGGAGAACCAATCTGCCCTGAAACAGCTGATCGGTCCTGAAAAGTTTTAAGTGGCAAGAGACACCCAGATACAAGCTGCAGACTATCTGGTCTGGCCACACTGTTTAACATGGTTTGCATATTAAAGAAACGCTAACAGCTTAAAGAATTAAAATGTATGTTCCTTCAAAGAACGGCTCAGTGGGAGTGCGGCAGATAATAGGCCATTGCCTGTCTTCGGGTGACAATTACCAGTATAAAACACACCGTATAATGTATTTCATTCGCTGGGCTTATTTAAGCTGCATTTTACTTTCTCTGTGACACTGCTAATGGCACCAAGAAAAGTTACAGTAAATGATTTGTAGCTTGGCCAGACACAATAACTGAGACAAACAATTGGGAAATTACCTAGTATAAGCTGGAAAGGAGAGATGGAGACTATACCTGCTAACAATGCAGCAGCCACAATGAAATTAAAATAAATTGTTCCTTGCCAGCTTAGATGTGTCTTCCCTGTAAAAACTATACGCTTATATCTCATTTTCTAGGTTTTTGCTTTAAAAAATTGGATTATTTAAACATAACAACAACAAACTGAATCAACAACGTAATAACAATATTAAAAATAATAGGTCAGCAAGCCCGATAATGCTCGCCCCCTAGAGTGGTGTGTTTTCTTTAGGTTAGTCATACAGTAGCCAGTACTGTAATCTTCTTGGAGCCCAGTGTGGAGCAGTTTTGAGGATCCAGCCTTCACTAACCATTTACTGTACTGTAACTTTAGATTCATAAATGCTGGGTGCAGACATGTAGTCTGAGCAAAAAAAATTGTCCTAGGGAAACTAAGTGATGATTATTGAGCAACATAGTTCATTAGGATATTACTTTTAGCAGCACCATTGGAGCCTCCTGCAATGCCTTGATTTCTGAGGAATCGGGGGATAGAAGCACACCCCTTTACCCAGCATTTGAGCGACCTATCACAAAGCCCAATGTCCACGCTAGGGGCAAGGGTACTGCTTATGTTTATGTAGATACCAACTTATACAAAGTCATTATTTTCATGTAAATACACATTTACATGGAGGATTAGGAGGATTATTACCACAACTGGAGTGATGATGTATAGGCAAATTTAGTGGTATAAAAAAGAAAACAAAAATTCAATCTTAGTAGGTGGGCACCTTACTAGTACTGAGCTGTCCTACTCCTCATTCTTAGTCTATGGCCTATGAGTCCCAGAAATGTCCACAGTGTATCCAAGACACAGAGTAGAAGGACAGTAACATGTGAATAAAAGGGACAGGTCCCAGTGGAAATAGTGGACCACGGCCTCCCTCGGTTACTCTCGCCTAATTTGCCCCCTTTACTCTATTACCCCTTACTTTACGTCCTTTGTTTGTTTGTCCCCTTGCTGTGCCCCCCTCTGTTGCACCCATTGTTGTGTCCTTCTTTTCTGTCTGTCTGTCAGTATTAAGAATTACAGTCTACCCAGGCTTACTGAGCAGAAAGTAGATGCTCACATCTTTTATGGAAGAGCTGTGCAGGGAAGCTGTTGATGGTTGGAGCAAACTGTGGGAACTTTTTCAGTGCACATCTCCATGTGACAATACAAGACAGGGTGTGCACAGGAATCAAATGAAAGCTTGAACTGCTCAGATGAGTCTAGCCAACTTTCTCCTTCTTCACTTGCGTTGTGGTCACCAACATTTGCATTTCGGGAGATTCATCATCGTATCATCATACACAAATCATTGATATGATAATGAATCATTCTAAAACTGACAATAAACATTAAAATCAGATTGTAAACAAATATTATCTAGTACTAGGTCCTGCCTGACTAAATATAAATTGAATAGAGTGTTTAGGTAGGCCCTCACATTATGTGTATTTGTAAATATAAAGAGGATTGTTCAATAAGATTGTAACAGTTTATAAACAGCTGTGATGTTTAACCTCATCCTAAAGCCTCATTCTGAACAAATGTTAACCTATTTTTCTTTTTGGAATTAGAGAATCAAGGTTCACACTAATGATTGGAAAACAGTTTGATTGGTTTCCAACCATGTGATCACTAAAAGCCAATCCTAGTGATTACAAGGGTTTGCTTACCAAAAACCTGCCTCCTCAGCTGCCATTGTTCCTTACATAGGAAAAGTCGACAGGTGGTAGCTGTTAAATGAATATTTGTACTGCATATATACAAAAAAAAAGTGTAAATTGCATTTTTGAAACATTTTTGTATACTTGACAGCTTATAGTAAGGGAATTCTTTTAAACAGTGCACCAAATAAAAGTTTTATATGTCCTTAAGAAAAAAATATATTGTATTTAGATGGGCAATTGGTTATAGAGCCATTGTCAAGACAACCAAAGAATACTAAAGCTGATAATTTTGGTCTGTCACCGGAGTACGACCACTGGTTACATAATGGAAAAGCTGCCAATTCCAATTCCTCTTAGACAGTCAAAACAATTGGTAAATTTCTACTTGCTCCAAGTACCAGGGTAGCGTTACTCACATGCAAACTGAAGTGTAGCCTCTCTACTAAGAACTCTGCCCAAGGTATTTGATGCTATACATTGGTATTGGCCAGAATCCTTCACCTCATTTGGACTGCTGATGATTAAATTTCCATCTATTAGAGTGTAGCGATAATCACTTTCCAAGTCTATCTCTGTTCCATTGCGAAGCCATCTTGAAAAGGAATAAAAAAAATATGGACAGAATGAAAAATAAAGCTTAAGAAGCTTAAAAATGAAATTAAAAATCAGCATCTTGATATAGCTAACAATAGAAATGATCATGCATCACAGTGAGCACATTCAGAGCAAAGAAATACAAATGATAATGGTAGCGATAAGTATAATTAATTAAGTAGAATCCATTGTTCGTGGTTGTAATTAAGGAAGAGAAATCTGTTCTATCTCTATTTCATAAGTCAGGGAGATCTGTGTTAGCATCCTTAACAATTTGGTTGCTTATATCTTTCCACAATGCTAGTAACACATTGTCAACTTTAGGAAAAATAAAAAAAATAATTCCCTTGAATTGGACAGTTAACAGTCATGTGCCATCCATGGATTTGATCAATTCCTGCTTATGAGTGGCCAAACGATCCCAATTGTGTGGAATTGGGTGGGAATTAATCAAAATAACCCTTTGACTGGCATCACATTGGTTTCAAATGAAAGTCATTTGTGGCATATTACTGTGGATGCTTCTTTTCCATGCTATTAATTTTCCAGTTTGCAAATGTTTGATCAGCATTACATTGTCTGGAGGCCCATTTCCACAAGTGTGCTGCCAAGGTGTTTTATGCTCTTTTTCTTAAGTGTTAATTTCTAATTGCAGCAAGTCATGCCACCCAATAAGCATCTCTCTTGGACTAGTCTGACGTCAGCAGAGTAGATTCTGATGGCTCAACATGACTTATTGCACTTAAGAATAAGACTCATACATTGGGTAAGCCCAAAAGACTTTCACCATATGCGGTGTTTTGTTTTTAACTTGAAATTCAATAGCCCAATCATATCATTATGTTTATTCTTCCACATTGCAGTTTGTCAGGGCCAAGATTGGCTGGTTACTACACATCCATGTTAAATGTATGAGCAATTTTGCCATTGTTGGGATTGGTTTAATTAAACCCTGGCAGCATCAGTCCACATATATAGTTGTCAAATATTAACTCCTGCTGCAGGACAGTCCCACTATTTTGCATATTGCCTCGCAGGCATTACCTTAACATGCCTCATTCTGTTCTGCAGAATGTCCCACCACACAGGGAGCAGGACACAAGTTGATGTGGCATGCAAAGGCCATAGCAAGACATTGTCCTCCCAATTGTTCCAAAAATGTTGGCAGTTGTGCCCAAATGACCTGTATAGATAAGGTTAGCTAATTACTAGCTGGTATAAATTATAACTTTATTGGCAAAGAATCTTGAAGTATTACTTAACTCAGGGGTAGGCAACTCAGCACTCCAACTGTGCTGAAACTACAAACCCCATCATCAGTCTTGCAACGCCTCGTGTGACTTGTAGTTCCCCAACAGCTGAGTGCCAAGGTTGCTTACCCCTGACTTAACTAGTCTGGAGTGCCATACAAATTCACCAGTCTTATTTCATGTGTCCTGTGCTTGATACTTGGTAAGCATTCAAGCTTTCAACCATGTAACTTGAACAGTTAACTATGTCCCAGTCATCAGAGCACCAAGAAAGTGGAAATATGTAATTGGAGCAGTGAGGCCTCACAATCTTTCAAACCTCCCATCCTGTTCTTGGGCAGTTACAGTATTACCTGCCTTAGCACATTTCATGACACCATGGTAATTGGGTTACGTGACTAAATACCCATGTGGGTATAAATGTTGGGGTATGTTTCTGACACGTATTAGAACTGAGGAACAACTTTGGTGAGGGAGTGACATTTCTTTAACATTACAGATCTATTCCAGTTGGATGTGACTAGTTACTGGTGATATACCAGTCTCTGGCTGATTACAGGGGCCAAGAGGCCATGTTCTCTTACACAGCAGATATACATAACATTTTTAATTACAACTGTACTGAGAAGCATGTAGGCTGCCATTGCTCCCCTCCTTCTAAAATCCAAGTTCCTTGGTTTTTTCTAATTCTAATAATTTTAATGTTTGATCTGAAACAAGTAAGCCGCAGCTGAAATCATAACGCCTGACAACCATACTTGATTCAGGTAAATGACAAAAAAAAGTAGTGAAATCACTAAAGCCAGTTGACAAGTATTCAAGAAAATATTCAAAAGAGGTCAGCAATAGCAGCCTAAGGGCCTGTGCTGATGGGCTTTTGTTTACGTCAAGCACGTTTTGCATTACCATACAGTTCTATGGGAATGCAAAACCTGCTTGAAGCAAATGAAATGCAGGTCAGGACAAAGGTCAAATGCAGATCAAATGCACCCGTCAATTAATTCTAAATGATCTCAGCATCATCTCAAACTGATATCAAGTAGATGCCATCGACACAAGTCCTTAATGTTTACGTCCACGTTTGCTTTAAAGATGCTCTGTAATTGGGAAGGAGATGCAGCCTTCCAAACCTTCTTGCCATTTGCCCCGAGAGAAATGTGTGGGGTAGGGCTTAGCAACAAGCTCCAACAGTACCTAGAAGTGTGGCAGCTTTGCCTGGCAGAATGGTCTGGCTTTCAGTGTCAGAGGAAGGTTTGGGAGGCTGCAGCAGGTACTGTATGTGCACCTCTAGATGTCTACACGTCATACTTGCAGAATTTTCCCTTCTTCCCCCCAGTGACAGAGTCTCTTTAAAATTTTCAATAAATATACAGGTGTGGGGATTATCACATGGCTAATAGTGAATGGTACCTGTAGTTTTGTTTGTTTGTTTTTAATATAAATGATTACTTTGCATTTACAAAGCCGCTGTAGATGGAAAGATGAAGATGAACATGAATAACTAATGGGAAATGTATGACTTTTTTGCAAGGGAACATTCATAGTCAATGTGTGTACCTATAACTTGGGCCAGGAAATCCTCTCGCCTCACAATTAAGTGCCACTTTCTTCTCTCCAGAATCCATTGGAAATATTACATTCTCTGGCTCTTGGACAAACACTGGTCCATAATCCACACTCTCTGAAAGAATGAAAATCTACCCGTTAAAAACACAAATACTTCTTGGTACTTGCACTACAACATTGATCAGGGAGGATACAAATGGAGTCGCACTAATTAAACATGACAGAGAAAACACACTTTTTGGGTTAGTTTAGTACAAATTAAAGCTTTGATCACCGTCATTATTTCTTTTTTTTTTTTAACAAAAAAAGACAAAATGCTACTCGTTAGATCTTATGTTTTTCCGTGCCGGTCTTTGATGTTCATCCAGTTTACATTAATATACTGAGTCTTGAAATGAAGCATGGAGTTACAACAGTTATGAAAACTGATATATGTTATAAACATAGCCCTTCAAGTTTATATAACCTCCTCAGGTCTATGGATGATGCTGATAGACTGTGTTTGCATTGAGTATAGACCCAGGTAATTAAAACAGAACTCCAGCCAATAGGCCAAATACACAGTTGCAAAACAAATAGTGTGGTAAAGCAGAACTGTAAACTAAAAGCAGTCATTAGACCCTTAGTATGGTCATTAAATTGGCAACAAGACAGGCTTCATGTGACCGGACATCACAACTGGAGGCGGCAGTGAGCAAGATTGTGGGACCATATACTAAGAGAACAATTTTATTTTAACTGCCCAGAGATAGGCCCTTTCACACCAGCATTCTATCAGTCTGCTTTTGACCTGTGATAAGACGGATCAAAAAATGACTGTAATTTATCCCTAAAGGAGGGCGCATGTAAACAGATATGCCTTGATTTACATCCATTCCAGTTTGTTGGCCCAAATGTAATAGGTTTGCACCCAGGTCCACTTTTGCAAACCTGAACAGATGTAAACGGATATAAGGGGATATAAGGGGATCAGGCTAGGTGAGATGGAATGGAGGAGCCTGAGTGAAATGGGGGGGCTACTGATGTAAAGGGGGCTTCTGATGGGAAAAAGGGGCTCTAATGTAAAGGGAATCCTTTTTTGTATTTTTGCATTGGGTCAACCCTATAAATCTATACCGGGCCCCTACCTAGGATAAGGGTCTGATATGGCTTTTGGAGAAGCTACACATCATTTTTTTACATTTACTTCTTTTACATTTTAGACTGGGCCTCAAACTGCCTCAAACTTGTGCATACTTTTAAAGGGTGCCGCCATGAATGAAAAAAGGTTGAAAAATGCTGGAGTAAGGCTCTGCTCTCTCTTTTCCTGTTTCAGTAACAACTGTAAAATGTTGCAATTTCCATCGCTGTGCCCATTGGGGAAACAGATGGCAATAGCAATTAAAAAGAGAAAGTATGAAGAACTATGGGGAAAAGCTCACACAACAAACAACGCTCAAACATCAATTCAATGGCAGCAGCTTAGCAATAAGTAACTTCCCCCTGATTGCTGAAATTGTACAGGGAAGCCAATTAAGAGAGAGCATGAGCTTTCCTGATTGCAGAGCTAAAGGTTTGACTTAGTAGGGGGCATGTAGTTTTTTTGTAGAGAGACTACTACTTCCCTAAAGAGAGAAAGGTCTCATTCTGCATTTGCTGGCAGATTTTTTTTTACTCAGGCTGTGGCTACTTTAGAAAATAAATTATATTACAAAAATCTTTTTTTAATGCACCTCAAATATATTTAGCTGATTTAAACTGAAGGTGCAGGTGGGCTTTAAATAGGCTTGGACAATGTTTTTACCTAGTAAAAGGACCAGTCTTGAAGCCGACATGAACATAAACAGGACAGTCTTTTCCTCTTCAACATAAATGAAACACAACAGTTCATGTACTTCTTATAATAATAACAACAATTCTTTCCGCAACATATACAGTTCTCAGCACTGCTCATGAGCACTCACACTGCTCTCTGAGCAGTGTGTCCACCAGGTCCCTTGGGTCACCGACTAAAGATTGTCGCACATACTCCGTGTGTAACTTGCTCTCTAAGCCTCCTTGGCTGACTACCCCTTGCCTCTAGCACACAGCCACCTGGCTCCCCTCTGACTTCTGGGTGGAGTCATCCTGACTCCTGAACACCTCTGTTCCTCTTACCAGCTGGAGCCCAGAACCTTAGCCAGCACCCTTCCCATAAGTGCTGTGCATAGGTGTGCAATTGGGTGCTGGCCACTACTAAACAATGGACCCAGGAATGGAGATTTCATCCCTCCCAATTCTCTTTGAAATCTCCCAGTTCCAGGATCCCATATCAAATCCAGAAAACCTGGGGAGAACTGCAAAGTCAGCTCTTTCTCAGTACAAGAACTTGCTTCCTTGAACTGCTCAGGTGACTACAACCCCCAGTTCTACCACCCAATACCACACTAGCAATAAATATATTTTCCCATGCCATCCATGGGATATTCTTTAAAACAAATAAATCCAAGCCACCCACTCTGGATTGCTCTGCGTTAGGAGGCATGCATTGAAAAGGCAGAAATGAATTGTGCAGTGTGATCTTACCTTTTATGTTACAGATTCCCTTTAACTACAGATCATATATCCATTTAGTCCCATTGGCTACAGCTCACATATAAACACAGTGATTTCAACCATGGTAACTGCATCCATCACACTGTATCTTTTCTATAATTACAGTGACTTGTAAGAGGACGTAAAAAAGTAACAATATAATATTCAATATGCCAGCCCTGTCACCTAGAGATTAAAAAGAGATTTCTTGCCATGTAACAGGCCGGCTATGTTCTGAAATAGATATTTATTACTGTTTACAACATGGAATTTTAAAGCACTTAAAAGCTCATTGAAGCAACAAGCGCCATGGTTTCCATTACTTTTCCGAAAGCTACAAGGCCACTTCTCTGTGAAGACAAATAAAGGATACAATGGTGCTTGGTGGGGAAAATATCAGGCTATCAACACTATAAGATTACCCATTTGCGCTCTCATGAATGGAACATTTAGGAAAACAAATTTCTTTTAAAAGGATATGCTCAACCACAAATTATTTCAGTTTTTAGCTGATTCTGAAACATTGAACCATCTATCTTTTTCTCTAATGCCTTGGAGACTGTGCTAGTGACATTAATTAGGGGCCCTAGTCAACTGCTGCATTGATTACTCACCCTCTTGGATGTTTACTTTATATCATAAAGAATGCAACAGGAGGAGATGTGACCCCCACCAAAGTGATAAAAGAATGCCAAAACCTTCAAGGTGGGTTGGAACAAGGAATGATGGCAGACAAATCCTACTGCTGGAATCCCACAATGACATGTGAAGCCTGGGGAGAAATAATCTCTATTGCAAATGTATGTGCAGTACATAATATTGTCTAGCTGTCAGTGCCAAAACAGGGAGTGAAGAATGTTAAAGACCTCTGTCAGGATTTCAGCAATTCCTGTGTTCCAATCAGGCAGACTTCTGCTCGGGGGAAATCTTTACTAAGTGGACACAGAAGGTATTTAAAGTCTGACCGAGAGTGAAACCCTTCAACACTCCATCCAAACCTAAAATGTTGATTGGAGTTGGGCAGTATACAAAACAGTTGTCCACCAAGATTGTGGCAACAATTTGGGGAAGGCCCTTTTCTGTTGCAGCATGGCTGTGTCCCTGTGCACAAAACCAATTTGTTGTGGAGGAAAGGAACCAGAGTGTCCTGCACAGAGCTCTGATATCCCTATTGAATTGGAATACTGATTATGAACCAAATCTTCTAGTCCAACACCAGTGACTGACCTCACAAATGCTCTTTGAGCACACAGTCCCACAGACACACCACAATGTCTTATGGAAAGCCTACACAGAAGAGTGGAGGTTGTGAGGCTATTATAGCCCTAAAAGCATGGGAAAGGGGGGGGGGGCACTTCATATTAATGCCCACCATTTTGAGTGTCCAATAAACTCACAGACATCTAATAGTCAAGTGTTTATGAACGTTTCCCCACATAGTGCAACAGTGTCCCGACTGTCTTTCTGATCCAGAGGCTTTATTACTTAATTAATGACTGTCCCAGATGTCCTCAAATATGCAAATTAGGAGTTCTTCATTTTTACCTTCCTGATCTGCATGATTTTTTGTGTCAGTGGCTTGTTCACCTGGCATTTCCTTTTGGTGTGTGTTAATGTTCACTACATTAAGAAAGCTCATTCACTTGCCAACTTGCCACAACAGACCTAAAATCAAAATAATTTATTTACACACTGCGCACTACAATTAATGATGCTTTACTGTACATAATGGTATTCTGCAACTCAGGTGAATTGGAGGTGTGTGTGCATTGTGGTGCAATTTAAAATTAAAGGCTACACAATGCACCATGGACTGTGCATTGGCATGTGTTGTGTTAACACTTGCAAAATATGTGCACTGGCACAAATGCATAGGTGTAAATGCATCCCTGAGCCCTATAACTGCCTGTACTGTAAGGTAATTCATTCTCAAATCACAACAAAGCTTTGAAAGACTTGGTGTTTGTTTACATTGTAAGGCTTACAGTCTGCCAAGATTATGTTGCAATAGAAAGTTATAAGAAAAGAGCTACATTTTTTGTGCCTTCATTGAGAATTTGAATTTCTCCAAAACGCCTATAGCTACAGAGGTGAATAGGAGTGTGTTCAATACATGTTATAACTTTATTGTACAACGTCTGGGAACGGATTCACTTTAAATTAGGCCAACGCTTACAGAGTGCTCATTGGACCTTCTATTGTAGTGGGTCATATAGGTAATACACATTTTTTGTCCTGTTGAATTAGTGAAGCAATTCCTGTCCAAATAATTTCAATTTCAGAAGCCATACCTTTTTCTAGAAACCTAGTGATTAATTTATTGGACACAAACTAGTGATTCATTTATTGGAGTAAAAAGAGCAATAATTCCACTAGTATGAACTCCACCATGAAGTGAACAACGCCGTTATCCCTATTAGTCCCTGACTGATTTTTTTAAATAAATAACAACAAAAACAAAAGCAGTTATCCAGTGGCCTTTGTAATTGCTTGTAAGGGTTTTCTTTCCACGAGAGCTTCTTTCCTCTTGTAGCCTCTCTTTATTTGTTTATCAAGAAATCA